ATCTCAATTCCTGGACAGTCACCTGAAGTTCCTCTGTAACGTTGGGGCATCCATCTTCAGCCCATAGGCCACAATGTGTCTGGAACACTTCTCAGCAAAGCAGGAAATTTCAAACTGTCCATCTGCGTTGGCAGTCTGTCAGTCATTTTTCTTTGTCCTGCAGAAAGTCTCGTAGACTCTTCATCAAGCAGGAACCCTGTAAGACTGAGTTCAGTAGTCACTTTCCTGTGGGTCCTGCATGTCCAGATGATATAACAATAGTCAAACAATCTAGGCAAGAGCAGTTTCTTGCCCAAATGGCTAATCTTGCCATGTTGAAAGCAAACTTTATAACGAGTTTCTTCGATGCCCATCTTCCTCTCAGACGTAATTGGTGCTGCCGGGAGCAGACATTTCTCATTGTCAAGAAAAACCCTAAACCATTTTAAATGCCATGTTCTGAAGGTCTTTGAGAGGTTTGAAGACTGTCCATCTCAAATATATTTTTGTATATCTAGAAAATCTAACTTACCTAACTATAAATTCTAACTATTATAAGTAACTATCTATTGTCTGTATTTAATTATGCATTACATTTTAAAAGAACAGTATAAGTACAATACTTAGTCAAGAGGAGAAATATAAGCATCACAAAATTGGCCTTGAATTTTATCAATAAATTAAAAATAATACCCATACCATAAATCCCCTTTTTACCATTAAAAGGAGATTGGCTGTGATCATTAGCCAATTATAAACAATCCCATTTAAATGAAAACAAAGATTTATAAACAAGATGGGAATTGGGACGTCGCTCATTCCAAACTGCTTCCTGCTGGAAGGGGGCGCTGTTCATACCATGGGGATCATGACAAAACTCAGAAACCTGTATAAGTCCGTATTTTCGGGGTCTGTAAAGCTGCATCATCTTAGCTGTCTCAATAGTTGGAACACCTGGTCCACTGCTTCCGGGGGTCTTGGTTCGTCAAACCACAGAAGTCTGGAAGAAATCCTCAGCTTTTTATGTTCTGTGGAAACATAAATTAAAACTCCTTTTCCGAGTAACATATCCTTATACTTAAATTTTGAAGTCAAGGTATTTTCAAAAGATATAAGTTGTATTAATTTAGCAGCATTTATAAGCAAGTGTACTTTAGTATCAGTTCCTTCCTGAGCAAGCAAAAAACTGAAAAACATAATAGCGTACAGTATCCAGACTCTCTGTGTATTTTCCATCTTTACGTGGCTTTTTTATTTATCTATTATTACTTTATTTATTTTACTTTTATTTATTTTTCTTTGAGACAGGATTTCTCTTTGGAAATCTGCCTGCCTCTGCCTCTGGAATAAATCCTACTGGCGTGAGCCACCACAACGCCGGCTTTTGTATTTATATACCACTTTGTCGTTTTTCTCTCTCAATCTCACGTATATTTTTAAACACACTGTAAACCTTTAGAGGTTTTTCTTCATTTAAGTCTGACTTTACTGTAAATCTTTATGTTTTTCTGGCCAGGTGTCTTATCTGTAAAACCGAGGCTGTTTTAAACTGCCAGTTTTTTTTTTTCTCAAGATGGCGGGCATAAGCATGACTCCAGCTTACCGCCTCAGTCCATGCTGACATCCAGCAAAAGCTGCCACTTCCAGCTGTACGTACACGCCTTTTAATTGTTAGCAGAGTCTCTTAAAACAACCTTGCTGGTTTTTTTTCTTTTTATGCCGAGTCAGGAAGACTCCGGTAAACGAGCCACGTGAATCTCGGCTTGTTGATAGCAAAACAGAGCACACCTGAGAAAATGCTGCTACCAAAATCTGTGCTTCTCTCTGTTCTTCTGTTTTTAAAATTCCTTTAAAGCTTTTGTCATTCTGCGTGGAAATTCATGATCCCACTCCAGATCACCATTATGTTAAGGGAAGCTTTTTCCTTGCTAGCCGCTTTGGTTTATCCCCCGCCAGTCACCTGGGCTCTGCCGCGCCAGCCTGGTTCTAGAGCCGCATCAGTCCCAAATAAACACACAGGAGGCTATATTAATTATGAAGCTGTTGGCCTTGCTTGTCCCTTACTGGCTAGCTCTGCCTTAAGTAATTACCCCATAATTGTTAATCTAAGTATGTCTCTTACTGGAGAATAGTTCCCGGCTTCTACCCCTATGGCATCACATGTCGACTCTCTTGTGTTTCTCCTACCCAGAGTTCTCCTGGACTCCTAGTCCCTCCCATCTTGGTTCCCTATAGGCTCAACAGTACTTTATTGACATAAGACTTCCCCAACAGCTTAGTGGTCTGACCGCGCCGACACAGGAGCTCCTTTCCTCATGGTATTTGGTGATGTCTGTCCTCTCTTGTACGTGTGTGTGTGTGTGTGTGTGTGTGTGGGGTCTTCTTCCTCTCGAGCTGGGGATTTCTCTTGCGGACTTTATTGAAGATATTTTCTATGCTTTTGGTGTGTAATTCTCCTCCATGCCCACACTGTATAGGTCCGGTCTTTCTCGTGTGTCCCAAAGAGCTCGCATGCCACTCAGGTGCTTCTCAAAAATCTATCATTGCCTTGATGGGAAAATCCCTCCGCCAAAGGTTAGAGAGCTGGCATCCTGTCCTGCTCGTGACGCTTCCTACTGAGCTTGTTGAAATGTCTGGCTTCACTTCGCTTTTCCGCCAGTGTTTTTCTTCTACTGGACTGTCCTTGTTTCCTAACTGACTCTCCGCCAGTGCATTCCCGAGCTTTAAGCCCCTGAATACACCGGGCGTTGGTGGCGCACGCCTTTAATCCCAGCACTCGGGAGGCAGAGGCAGGCGGATCTCTGTGAGTTCCAGGCCAGCCTGGTCTACAAGAGCGAGTTCCAGGACAGCAATACAGAGAACCCTGTCTCAAGAAAAAAAAAAAGAAAAAAGAAAAAAAAATCCCCTGATTGAATAGATTTATAACCGTTTTGAACTCTTTGTCTAGACTTTTATCTCACTGAAGACCATTACTGTGGGATAGGTAAATTGGTTAAGACATACGGTGTTGACTTCAGCTATTTTGTAGTAATTTCATTCTTCTGCCTTAACCAGGAGGAAATACCTTTAATTTCATTAGTCATTAAATATGCACATCAAATCTGTTTTTTTTTTTTTTTTTTTTTGCGCTGCTGCAGCTGACTTCTAATTCCTTTTCTTTTTTCTTTTATGATTTGTTTTGGTTTTTCAAGACATGGTTTCTGCCTCCCAAGTGCTGGGTTTTAACTCGTGTGCCACCACTGCCTGGCCTAATTCCTTTTCTATGTTTCAGATTTATATTGCCAATCCTAATTAGAAAACAGGACTAACAAAAACTCCTAAGAGCAAAGGCACAACGTTCCCCAATCTTACTAGGACTTGCCAACTCTGCCCAGCTTGTCCTACAGCCAAGCTGAAGCATCAAAGGGGGCCTCCCTCAGCTACGCTTGTGGAACAAGTTCATTCTGTCTGTGCCTTCCTGCTTCTTAACAGCCTGTCGGCCAAATTCAACTAACTGGGCTTGGCGCAAAACGCTGACCGCTCACAACACTCATTGGCAGACCATGCATTTACAAGGGGATAGAGGGCCAGCAAGATGGCGCATGGGACGGGAAAGCTGACAACTATACTGGTACCCACACAGGGAAAAGCCCATTCCTAACAGTCTTCCAACCTCCACATCTCTCCCTCTCCCCTACCACGCACACGAATGGACGGTCTCTCTAGCCACACCACCCCAACCTGCCTCACCCTGAATCTGTGTGTGGTTTTTTTTGTTGTTGTTTTTCAATTGCCTTGTCTGAAGCATTCATTTGCTTGTATCTAGGGCATCACCAGAACGTTCTGATACAAGACACAGAAAGTGATCTCCGGCAGGGGAGGCTAAGATAGCAGGGTCGAATTTACTGAGACCCTGCTTCAAAATGAGCTGGGGCCGTAGGTCAGTGGGCTCTTTTCTAGAATATGCGAGTCTACAGTCCAAGCCCTGCTAGTAGTTCCCTTTCCCACAAGATGCCCCCAGCAACAGCAGTTGAGAGCTTCTCTCTGTCTCTGTCTCTCTGTCTCTCTGTCTCTCTCTCTCTCTCTCTCTCTCTCTCCCTCTCTCCCTCTCTCCCTCCCCCTCTCCCCCACCCCACTTCCTTTGGTTAGGCTTCACTGTACTCCAACGATCAGGACAGGAGCCTTCACGGTGTCTGCTGTGGTAGTGACTACCCTCACCCTGCACTTACACAGCTGCTGCCTCGGTTTCTCAATCTTCCCCGCCCTGAGTTTTCTCTTGGACACTCCACTGGGAAGACACCAGGGAAATCAGAGCAGAGCTCTTGTTGTGCTGAGGCTAGCCTGAGGGGCGCAGGCGATGGGTGTCCACAACAGACGTGTGGTCACTTGGCGAAAAGCGGTCCAATGTAAGCAGAGGTTTAGAGACAGTCTTAGGACTGGGGCATGGATCCGATATCAGGAACTTGGATAAAGAGGGTTAATTTTGGAAGGTCACAGGCACAACCCGAAGTTAGAACCACACACAGCATTACGTACCCTCAAAATCAGGATTACAGGACCGAGTGGCACATGTGTGACCCTACACTTGCATTGGGGAGAGGGGAGCAGGAGTCTGAGGCCATCCTAAGCCACAGGAGCCCCTAAGAAACCCCCCACCCCACCACAGGAAAGACACGTAATAGGTAACTATGGTTCTGGAAGGATTAACCATCATTCTCCTGTCACTGGTAAACAGGACACACAGCTGTATCTCAACTGAAAATAAACAAAATCAGAAATCTTGAAAATATGCTGATTTTTTTTTTAAATGCCGGGCAGTGCTGGTGCACTGATCCCAGCTCTTCAGAGGCAGAGGCAGGCGGATCTCTGTGAGTTCGAGGCCAGCCTGGTCTACAGAGCGAGTTCCAGGACAGCCAGGGCTACACACAGAGAAACTGTCTCGAAAAGCTAAAAAATTCTCAATCCAGGCAGAGTGCGTCTTCTGTTTATTCTAATTATGAATGAGAAACTAGATAGAAACAAGGAGATGGTCGTTTTTGCAGGAACCCTCTCCACAACCTACCGTTTCAGGAAAAGCAGCCGGCTCCAGGGCCACCTTTACAGAACTAAGCATTGGATGATACACGAACTGCGCCATCTCGAGTCTAGCAGTTGATTCAGAGGTGGGATGGCTACAGCTAACAGCATTTTCTTCCAGCTCACCAGACAGAAAGGTGAGCACAAACACGGGGCCAGCCGTGTGCACATAACAGAGACCCTGTAAAACAACAGCTTAGTAACCCCCTCCCTCCCAAGGCGTCACGCTGTTAGGGTTAGACAGTCTCACTGGGCAAATAGGAAGCCTTACTGTTATTACTTACAAGGACACAAAAGCACTTGGAGTCTGTAGCCTGGTTTATGTCTAACTAGGTTAGGCGGGGAAATATCTGACCATGTTGAAGTGACAGACTTGGTACCCCAGGAAGAGAACTTAAAATGGCATGGCGGGAATGAGAAGAGGGTTGCCATGGGACCGGAGAGACAGTTTACAGCTGGGTAACCAGGACCGGCAAGGCCAGGCCTATTGGGGACACAGAAGCAGACAGGACCCACTAGGTTCTAGCTCACAGGCTGAACACCTACCTCTAGGATTAACTGGCAATAAAGGTGTTCCTTTGTGCAAACAGGTAGGAATCTGTTTATTGTAGAGGACTTGCTGGGTTACAGATGTACGTCAGTGACACGCGGCCTAGCCACATGAGGACGGAAGGGGGGGGTCAGCAGCGCATGATGTACCAAGGGGGACATGTTTGGAAAACAGGTCTTTCTGGTCGTGTTGAGTTTATTTATTTAGCAGCCCTACCATCTGGGTAGTACTCAGAAACCCTGAGAATTAGGTAAGGTCTCAACCAGGGACATCTTGCCAAAGGTAAGGGGTCTCTGAGAGGTGCGTGCCCGGTGGAATCTACGGTCTGACCTGTGGCCTTCCGCAGCCTGAGAGCACAGACGTTCCTCCTGCTAAAAGCTGAAGGGTATGAAATGTGGACCAAGAACCTACAGATGGAAAAAATGTAAAAATCCAAGTGGAAGTCACAAGCTTGGCCAACAGATGGCACTAGAAACCCTCATCTCTGGTTAAGTGTCTCACTCAGGCCTGCCTCTCCCCTATGCCATTCAACCAGACAGCCTGGTAGAATAGCTTTTTTTTCTTTTTTAATGAGACTGGGTTTCTCTGTATTTGAGGCTGTTGAACCAGCCCGGCCTCGAACTCAGAGATCCGCCTGCCTCTGCCTCCCAAGTGCTGGGATTAAAGGTGTACGCCACCTCCGCCCGGCTTACAATAGCTGTTTTAAATGTCCTAAAATGAGCTTTAGTCTGCTGCCTCAACCTGAGTAGCTGACTTGGCATGTCCAGGGTTAGGGTTAGTTCACAGCAGTGGATTCTGAAGCCAGGCTTCCTTGTCAAGCCCCACCTCTACTGAGTGCACACCCCATCTACGGTTACGGGGACCACCAAGTTTCTGGGCACAATGCTTGGCACACAAAATACTTGTGAACTCAGTATCGTGCCGCCACTCTACAACTTCTGCTGCTCTTGAGCTTACGTCACCCTCTATAGACTTTTCTTCTACACATCTTCAGTCCCTCTTCCTGGTCACAGAAACCTGTGAAGTCTCATCCCTCACATCTGGTGCTTACAAGCCTTCCAGCGTACACTGAGAACAGGCTCAGGGTGGAATGTGACACTCACCCCCACCATCCTTCAAGCCAACCTGCCCCTGTCACTACTCACCAGCAATCCCACCCCCCCCCAACCTAGTTGTGAGGTTTCCCAATGTCTATCAGGGGGGCAGGCCTGCTCATCTAGGGGAAATACATCAGAAACCAGGATGAAGCCACAAGTCCAGACACGTAGGCAACATCTGGGGGACAGCAGGCCCTCTGACCAGTCGGGGAGGACATGTTCATAAGGAGATTGACCGGAAGCTCCCAGCACTGTAGCACAGGTTTGGAGCCCTTTCCTGAGCTAAGACGGTTGGCCTTCAGCTTTTAAAGTAGTATAAATTATACCAGAAGTCAGCCTATCAGGCTATGAGCGGAGTAGAGGACAAATGTATCCACAAGCCATTTCTAGTCCTGCCCCCCAATTATTTCTAAACCTTATATTCTCCCTTCAGGCATAAGTTCCAGAGGATTCCTTTCACCTCCTCACAGGGAGCTCACTCCTATCACTGACTTCAGAATGGAGCATTAACCCTAGGGTTCAGCAGCAGAGTGGAAACCATTGGCTAACTTTCCAGTTGGATGTAAACTGACCACCGCTGTTATTCCTTCACCTCCACCCGTGGGGTGGGGGTCAGAATATCACAACAGTCCTTGTGTTGCCGCTGTCCTGTTCCTACTCCCAGGTATGATGTTGTTCCTCATCATGGCCTGTTAAAACTAATGGTGACCCTCAGCACACGCATCCAAAGAGAACAAGCCTCCCAGCACTAAACACGAGATGCATTACTTTGAATACAGAAACAAATCTCACTAAGATAACTAACTCAAAACTTCAATAATATCTTCTTTATTTACAAGTTAGAATCAAGAGAAAGAAAGGTAGTCCAGGGGCCCAATGGAGAGGTGACTAAAATCCCCAGGCCCCCAACGGAGTGGAAGGAAAAGGGAAGAGTAGAAAAGAAAGTCAACGTAAAAAAAGGAGCTCCCTCTCCTTCCCTCCCCATGGGGGCTGGAGGGAGGACCGTGGTGCTCCTCCCTCACAGCCTTACTAGCTTAAATAAATTAAAACCTCAAAACAGGGCCCTTCCAAGTGAACAGGACAGCTGCGGCCTCAGGCAGCCTCGTGCCAGGCCTGTGCCCACTCCCACCCATCCCTTGCCCCACCCCATCATCCTCCACAGGGACACCACACCCAAGAGGGCTACAAGTCAGTCTGTCCGTCTGTCCATGTCCCTGCGATCCTCCCCACTGCAGAGCCAGCTCTCCCATGGAGGGGTGAGATGAAGAAGCGTCACAGCAAGGGAAAGTGGGGAAGGGTGGTACAGGGGTCCGGTCCTGCGGAGCCTTCCTGCCCCATCTGGCCTGGCCCCTTAGCCCGAGTCTGAGTCGCTGGTGTCAGAAGAAGATGAGGATGAGGACGAGGAGCTGGAATCTGAGCTGGAGCTGGAAGCGCTGAGCCGGGACACCGCGACTTGCTGTGCAGATGACGTCTCTGTTTTCTCACTCGCTGTACAAAAAGAGGTAACATTTCTTTTGTCACAAGGTCACTAGTCAGCCTCAGAGCCCAACCTAGAGCAGTGGAGAGGGAGGGGTCAGAGACCTTGGCAGTCTGAGCACTCACCTTTCTTGGGAGGTTTTTTGGTGGAGTTAAGCTGTCCACTGACGTCTTGTAACCGCTTTTCTAGTTCCCGCTTCTTCTCCAAGGCTAGCTCCTCCTTTGTCTTCCCCACAGGTTTCTTAATGGCTAGGAGGAAACGCCAGGATTCACTTTATATACCAGGACACTCCCACCCCCCGGCGTCTGCAGCTGCCCGATCTGATACTCACTGTAGGGCTTCCGGGGCTTCTTTCGAAGGCAGGATAAAACGTATCGCTCAAGCTCCCTGAGTGTGGACGGCTTGAGTGTTTCAAAGTCAATCTCAATTTCTTCTGGGTTTGAATCACGTAAAGAGGGTTCCCTGGCTTGGATGATATGTACAACTCGACCCAGCTTCTCCCCAGGTAACTTATTGATGTCCAGGCTTAACTGCCTCTTCTCATCGTAACTCATGGGCCTGCTCTCCTCCTCCTCCTCTGAATCGTAACCAGCAGGCAGGACAGGTGGGGCTGCCTTTTGGGCCTTTTTAGGCGGCCTACGGGCAAGAGAATCAAGTGGGCAGGGAGCTCACCAATGCAGAGGCTGACTGAGCAAACGCCCCGAGTAAGACTGTCCTCACTTACTTGTTGCCACCTCCTCCGCAAGTCCCAAAGCCAGGGTGGCTCAGCATAGCAGCACTGCCGCCCCCGCCCGCCTTCTTAGATTTCTTAGGCTGAAGTGGGCGAGGGGCCCGAGACCCCTTATCGTCTTCATCCATCCCCTCGCGGCCCCGGTGTTTCTCTGCCTTTCGTTTCTTCTTCTTCTCCTTTTTCTCTCTCTTCCGCTTGGGCTTAGATATTGGGCCCTGGGACAGGGCGGCCAGTTGTTCATGCACTGCCCGAAGCTACACAGGAAAAGAACGTGAAGTATGATTAAAAACAAAATAAACCACAGCCAGGACCAGCATGGCCAGAGTTCTTACCCCATCCAAGCCCAAGGCCTAATGAGATACCTGCTCCTGCAGCTCTGCCAGGCGATGAGCCCTCTCTTCCTCAGAGTCTGAGCTTTCACTCTCCTCCTCCTCGTCTTCATCTTCCTCCTCCTCCTCTTCCTCAGAGGAGCTCTCACTGCTGCTCTCCTCACTTGAAGACTCTGATGAGGACTTGGCCAACCCAGGAGGCAAGGCGGTAGAGACGGGTAAAGGCCCTGGTTCCAGCGGCTCATCTGGCATCTTGGCGTAGCGGAACTCGAACACATCCTGCAGACAGGTGGACTGACTCAGAACTGTGTAATGCCTAGCCACCTAGCACACTAGCTCCAGCTGAGGGTAAAGGAAGGGGAAGTCTCACGTTTTTAATGCTGTGACAGCACAAACTAAACCTCTCCTATAATCAGATACTGTGTAAAGGTCAAGTCACCCACTCACCTGTAACTTCCGCGCCATGGCCACGACGTCGTGGTCAGGAGGGTTATACTTGTAGCAGTTGGAGAACATAAGCCGCACATCAGCAGCGAACTCCTGCGCGTCCCGGTAATCCCGGTTCTCCATCTTCCGCTGCAGAAGGAGGCAGCGTGAAAAGCTGCACAGGCAGAGACTCATCTTTCCCTGCCAACCCGACTCAAGAGCAGCCCTCTCTTGGAACAACAGTGGGGATGACCTTAGGGATCTGTGCCCTGGAGTTCAAGTTTGAAGTCCAAGGATTTGGGGTAGGTTTGAAGAGGTATCTATGTCTAGAAGAAAACATTTCTAAGTGACCAAGGCCACTTCTCCCACATTACATCTCCCTTAACCCAACTCTTAAGAGATGTTGGAATAAAATATAAGAACTTCAAAGTCTGTGGCCTTCTGCCTTGCTCAACTTTATAAAGCAAGACACACCCAGAATGAAAGTCTTGATCCCTGGGCTCCAATCACTGCCTGAGCATCCCATCTGCCCCATGCAGTGGGTACCTTGACAGTGCTGAGGTCCATGGGGTGTTTAATGATGTCATGGTAATCGTGAAGGCCAAGAGCAGAAGCGTCCACTGGTTTATAGAACGGCCAGGCATAGGCAGCATGCTTCTTAGAGAGCAACTCCTTCAAAATGCCATTGCAGTGCTTCAGCTGTTCCGACAGCTTGCCTTTCTTAGAGCTCTGATGTTGCTGCTGCGAGTCAGGCAAGTCTTTCCGTGGGGGTTTGATTGGACGGCCACTCTCTCTACGCACAGGAGGAAGCCGGGCTGCCTTTGGCTCAAGACTCCCAGGGGGACTAGCTGGGGAGCCAGGAGCCAGCATGGCTGTAGGTGTAGGGGTAGTGGTGTCTGCTTTCCGCTTAACGCCCTTTTTCTGCAGGAGAGAGGAAGAGGGTCACTCGGGTCCACCTCCACTAACACCCTCCCTCCCTTTCCTCAGCAGCTTGCTTCATTACCTTGGCAAGGGGCTGAGCTGGAGGGGCTGCTGACACGGCGAGGAGCGGGGGCCCAGCAGAGTGCAGGGACTTAAGGAGGGGAGAAGAGATGACTGACGGGTGGGGAATGGTGAGGACCGTGGTGGGTATCTCAGGCGGCGGAGTATACAGGGCTGTGTGCGACACAGAAGACACAGCAGGCACCTGATGGGCACTGGCAATGCTGCCCTGCAGGGCTAAGACAGTCAGGAGAGAAGCGCGTGTAAAGTTGTATTCACGGTCACCGACGGGCCACTATCTGACTCTCAGTTAGGTCCCGTCCGTACCTGCTAACTTGGCCCCCTTTTTGTGGCTGTTCTTAGGGACGGTCACCACAAGCTCTTGTTCCTCTTGTGGCATCGATGCCACTTTCTGCAAGAAGATCTTCTCCAGGGTTTGTGCCATTAGGACAATGTCATCGGTGGGCTGCAGGACAGACAGAGGTTCCATTTGCAGGGGAAGTCACCGTCCCGCTCCTTGCAGGTCTCTAGAGCTTTCTGAGAAACAGGGCCACCCCCCCCCCCCAAATGCGACTGTGTGCTACTTAATAACCTTTCCCTAGAGCACCGTCTGTGGGGCTCCTCTCAGCCCCTGGCCAGCTGCACTCACAGCACTCCCATCAGAAACAAACAGTACTATCACTAGCTGCTATCAAAAACCTTAAAAAGCCAAACAACTCACCTTGTTATAAATGTAACAGTTGGTAAACATGGTATTAAAGTCCTGCATACATTCTGAGGCAGCCCAGTAGTAATTGTTTTCAAGTCTCCTCTTGATAGTACCCATGTCCATAGGCTGTTTTATTATTTTGTGATAATCCTAGAGAAAAACATGCTAGGTCAGTCAGACCACAGGAAAACGCCTATTCTAGGGCAACTACTGACAGGCAGGCAGACAGATACACCCGCACGCACACCCTACTACTACTAAGGAGTATTCCCACACTGCGGCCCCAATTAAGCTGTGGGTTAGAAAAACTAGAGTGAGATCCCACTAGGAGAGCCCTAAACCTTTCTCTACCACCCACCTCCCACCACTCTGGAAGCTTCCCATCCTGTGACATTACCTCTGGGGTGGCTATCCATGGACTGCATGAGGGAAAGGAAGAAGCTAAGAATTTTGGCCACCGTGGTCCTCTCCCAACCAGGGGTGGGAAATCTGTAAAATGGAGCCAGGGCACAGAGTTAAGGAAGGGACGCATGGAGGCAAAATGAGAGATGCCAAGATAGAGATCACAAGCACAAAGGACCAAGACCAACACCCTGGTGGCTATTTCCCTAAAGACACTGAATGGGACTCCCTAGGGGCCGCAGCACCTACCTACGCTAGGTAGCCCACACCCACTCACGCATGCCTGCAGTCCCGCAGCCGCCCCCGTGCAGACTCACCGGCAGGCCCAGCTTCACGGCGTCCACAGGCTGCCGGAACGGCCATGCAAACTGATGCTTCCAGAGAGCCTTCATGACCACCTTGTGCAGATACTGCAGCTGGTTTGTCACCCGGCCCGGCTTCTTGGGGTTGGACACCTCAGGGGGTGGTGGGTTGGCAGGGGTCAGTTGTAAAGCTGGCACAGAAGCCATCGTGGGGCTCTCAAACCCCTCATACAGCAGAGAGGGCTTTCGAATCCTTTTCCCTGGTGCTGCTGCCTCTGGGCCCAGCCCCAGCAACCCTGCATTCCCTTCCCCAGGGAGCCTGCAAAAAGGGAGCACAATTAGATGACACGAAGACCAAGGAAGTCGCCCAAGTGCACCGTGCAGCGACTCTACAAGCCCGGGCTGTGGCTGTCGCGAGGGACACAGGAAAGTGAGCAGCAACCAGAACAACAGTTGTTGCCCACCTCATCCAGCTCGTAGCATCCTCCAGTTTCAAGAGCTGCTTGGTCAAAAAGCATACAAAACCAAGACATCACATGACAGCTCCAGCCTTATGGGGAAGAATGAAGCAAAAATGGGTGGAGCTATGAAAGTGAAGCCTCATCCTCGCTGGGGATTTAATGGTTGCCATGGTGGTTCAGACAGAGAAGCCAGTGCAGAGGAAAAAAAAGGGGGCGGGAGTAAACTTCAAAACGACACCGATGAATTCATCTCAGCATCCTTCAGCTATAAGCCCCACAGTAGGAAGCAGATAGCACTAACCCCCAAATAAGACACAACGAAGTATCTGTCAGAGATCCGTCTACACTGCCAGACCCACAGAAGTATCCCTAAAACAAGTCTCCTTCAAAACACACCCTCCAGTCAAGGTCAGCAAGCCCTAATTTTGATAGCAGCTCCGCTACAGAGTGTCGCCAGCAACTCCTAGGCAGGAGACCAAGGCCAGCGGTGGCGCCTCGTTGGGGAGCCGAGGTGGGGCTCTACCCAGAGCAGGTGAGTGACCAGCGCCCGAGACGCCGGCCCCGTCTCATTGTTTACATCTGCAGCGCCGAGCGCGGCCGCCGCCTCACTCCACGCTACCCACACGCCCACCACCGTGCACCGCAGGCCGGGCATCCCCTGTGTATGCAGCAGGGACCTGCCCTGCTGCGGGAATCCTCCCGCTGTCACCATGGCAACTCCCCGGGCACTCACGGGGCCGAGACCCCCCAACCCGACGACAAATCAAGGCTGAGCCGCACACCACCCCCACCACCCGACCCGGCGCCGTGGCTGCGCGGACACGGACGGGCGGCTCACACGCAGTACCTGGGCCGCCGCCACCGCTTCAAAACCGTCGCAGCCCCCTCCGCGAGCTCGCGTCAACAGCTGCGGCGCGGAAGCGCGCCTCGCCCGCCCGCCGCTGCCCGAACGCCGCCCCGCGGCCCCCTCCCTGCCTGCCTCCCTCCCTCCGCTCCGGCGCGGACGTACTTGTGGGGAGTCACGTTCTGCAGCATCTTGACCTCGGGCACCGCCGCTCAGCCGCGTCAAGTCCGGGTGGCCTCGGCTCCCCTCACCGCCGGGCCCAGCATAACCCGGGACGCGGGGGGAGGCCGCTGCCCTCGGGCCTCCTGCGCCGCCCTCCGCACGGCTCCCGCAGCTTGGCGCGCTCCGCAGGCGGCGGCAGGAAAATGGCGGCGGCCTCCGCCGGCCGGCGAGCCCCCGGAGAACGCAGTCTGCCGGCCCCGACACGGTCCCCGAGACTGGACGCCGCCGTCAATTCCGCCCGCTGCCGGTGCTCGGGGGCCCCCGCTTCCTGCCGCGGGCGCCGGGGGCGACGAGACCCGCGCTGGATCTCCGATGGAGGCGGATGAACACCAGAAGGGGCTTCAGGGAGCCGCCGCCTCCATCTTTGAAATCCTCTCGAGGGCGGAGTAGAGGGGTGGACGGACTCCGAGGACTGGGCGGGGCCCGAAAGGGGAGCTGCAGGGGCTTCTACGGGGTCTGCACTGTCCGCCGGGAGCGGCCGCGGGCGGACACGGAGGCCATTTCCGAGCGGATGGACGCGGATTGCACTGGCGGCCCGCGGAGGCTCTGGGTCGGCGGACAGACTCCTCCCGCTCGTCCTAGAGGCTGCTCCACTCCAGCGCGAAATGGCGCCGCCGAGCCCCGCGCCAGCGCTTTATATATAGCCGTGGGGGCGGAGCCTCGCCGCTCATGCGCGCCACCGGGCTCGCGGCTGCCCCCGCCCCCTCTGCGCGTCCTCGCTCGCTCACGCGCGTGCGGCAGCCAAGGCTGGGGGGCAGGACCGCCTCTTCGCGGGAGCTTTCTCCATTGGTCCGCTTGCGGGATGACGTCACACACTCCAAGTCCGGGGCGCCCGTCACCCGGCAGGAGAGTGCCGCATAGAGCCGGGGCGGCCCGCCATGTCGTGCCGATGGGCCGCGCCGTGGCGTGGAGGCCGGGCGGACTGCAGGCGCCGTCTCTCCGGGTCCCGCGGAGTCCTCCCGGGCCTGCAGACACCGGCTACCCGTGCAAGCCGCCATTCCACGTCCTCCGTGGGCGGCGGCGGGCGGGGCGGGCCGCTCCCGGCCGGGAGGAGAACCTGAAAACGAGGAAGAAGGCGCCATCTTAGCAGCCGCGCGGCCTGCTCCGGGCAGCGAGGCTTGGGCGCTCCCCAACGTCCCCGCACCGCGGGCTGGCGTTGCCAGGCGCCACGACCCGACCGGTGACTCTGCAGAGTTCCCACGGCTGCCCTGCCCCCACCGCAGAGCCACCGGGACCACGGCCTGCGCGGCCCCAACACCGCCAGCCCCAAAGCACACAAGGCCGCCCGCCCGAGTGTCCCCGGCCGCCAGCCCCGGCCCTGCCCACGCTCGCCCGCACACACGCGCGGGGCCCGCCCGCCCTAACCTACCTCTGCCAGCTTCCCCGGCGAGGGCGAGCAGGCGGCTGACCCGCTCCCGTGGCGGGCGAGGCCCTCGCCAGGCGCGGTGTCCCCACCCCCGCAGACTCCCTTCTTGCCCCAGCAAGGGGAGCAGGGACGCCCCCGCCCCCACCGCCGGGGCCCGGATCCTCCCCACGGAGCGCTGCTTCCACCGGTCAGCGCCAGGGAGGAGGGCGAGCCGAGGAGGCGGCGGCGGCGCGGCTCTCCCGCCCTCCCCCCTTCCCTCCCCTCCCCCAGCCGGACGCCTCCGAGGAGGGGCCGGAGCCATTTTGGGCGCGGGCTCGCCCCCTCCCCCTGCCCCAGGCTGCACCGGGCGTCTGGGAACCAGAGGCTTGTGTAGGAATAAACAACCAGAGCCCAAGGTCAGGGGCCCGGGGCGACTCCGCGTGCCCCCCCGGAGTCCCCGGGGTGCGCCTGAGCCTGGCTCCCCTCCTTCCGTCCCCGGGGAGGCTTGTGTGCACGTCCGGACAGGGGGCTAACGCGGCAGAGGGGCCGTTAGCAAGGCGGGTTCCCCCGCCCCGACTCAGCTCCTACGGGGCCAGGCCACCCTCCCCTCGCCGTCGGCCCTCGAACCTCCATCCCCGCACTCGACATGGCCGCCGCGCTCCCGTCCTCCGGACCGCAAACCCCGCAGGGGGAAGCGCGCCTCGCAGGCCGGGACCCTCCACTCCCCGCCGCGGACCAGGCCCGGGTCGCCCGAGTGCGCGCGGCCCCGCCCGGGCGGCTGCGGGGAGCCGGGCCATGACACAGCAACTTTCCGGGCGGCTCCCTTCCTCCCTCCCCTCCCCCGGGCGGCCCGGCCTCCAAACCGACCGCCTGCACGCGGAGGCCTGGCCCCAGACCCAACCGGGACGGGGTCGGGGTGTGGGACAAGCTCGGGAGCTGGGGGCTGCGGGCCTTAGACAGACGCGGGGCTCCCACGGCCCCGCATTCCGGAAAGTCACTGGGCCGCGCCGTCCCCGGCGCTCCCTGCCCCCACATGAGTCACCGGGGAGGCCGCTGCTACTTAGTAATTTGGAAAAGTAACTCTTCCCTGCTTCCCGTTCCCTCCCCCGCAGCGCACAAGGAGGCAACTGTTCCGGGGGGGAGGGGAGGCGGCCACACCGCGCCACCCGAGAAACGCTAAACCTCGGGCTGCAGAGCATCCCGGGCCCCGGAGCCCCGCTCCAGACTCGGGGGCAGACACACGGCCAGGGCCTCCGGGGCGCGCGGGCACCCAGGCCGTGTCCCCGTGGGAAACCGCACACACACAGACACACGCACACACATCACATACACCCACACAAACACGCGCGCACATCACATACTCTCACAGACATACACGCACACATCACATCAATACACACTCGCTGACATACGCTCGCGCACACATATTACCCACATGCACACTCGCATACACTGACGCACACATCACATAGTCACGCTCGCAAACACGCACACCACACATACATGCATGCACACTCGCACATACATAACTCGTACGCACGCACACACGTGCACACATACACTCGCACGCAGACACGCACACAGACACATACACTCGCACGCACACAGACACGCACACGCGCGCACACACCGGCCCGCAGGCCAAGCGGGGCCTGTGCAGCCCGCCATGTGACGACGGCAGGCTCGCCGGCCGCGCTCGACACGACTCGACACAAAGGGAGCCCAGAGTCCCTGGGGAGACCGGGGGGTCGGCGACACCCGCCCGCAGCCGGGGCTGCCAACCTCCGGGGGCCCCCGGGGCCCGGGACCGACGCCCACCCCGCCCCCTCCCCCGCCGACCGGGCCCACAGGACAGGGCCGTCCTCCCGCGCCCCCCCACCGCTCACCTGGCTGCTTCGGGTCCCCGAGGCCCCGGGGGCCGCCCGGAAGGGGGCACGAGCCGCCGTCGCCCCCGTGCCCTCCAGTGGGGACGCAGGCACGAGGTTGGCCGTTCCCCTCCCCCACGCCCGGTGGCCCTCTCGGGCTGGCCCGGGTCCACGCTCCCATTGGCTGTCAGGTGCTTGAAGGACACGTCTCCCCCCCACCCCCGCCACCGCCCGACCCGGGAATCCTCTCCTGAACCCCAAGAACCCTTCCCCGCTCCCCCCACCTTTGGCGAGGCGCGGAAACCGCACGCGGCGGCCCCGCCCCGGGGGCCCCTGCTCACCTGGATCCCGGAGCCGCGGGGGCGGGGGCGGGGGGGGGCCGCTCAAAGTCGCCCTCGTCGTCCCGGCCGGGGGGAGCGCGGGATCCGGGGTGTCAACCCCCCCGGAAGCCGAGGCGGCGTTGGGGGAGGGGGCGTCGCCCCCGGCCCCTCCCTCCCCGGGCCGCCGGGGGTGGGGAGCGTCGGGGCCGCGCAGCCGCCACGTCAGCAGCGCTCGGATTGGCTGTCCCTGGTCACGTGTCCCGCCCCCTCCGCCCGTCCCCGCGGCCTCGAGGGCGAGGCTCCCGAACGTTCCCCGGGGGCGGTGTGCGGGACGGCCGGGGCCGCGCGGTCCTGGGCCCGCGTTCCGAGGCTCAGGCCGCCGCCGCAGCCCCGCCAACCGCCCCCCTCTCCCCGGTCTCCCGCGCGGCCGCGGGTGACCCTGTCCCCCCCCCACTCGCCTCTCCGTACGGGTTCAGCATGGCCGCCACAGCCCCCCCCAGACACGCGACGGCGCAGGCGCGAGGGTGTGACCGGCCCCGGGGAGCCGCAGTGCGCAGGCGCCGCGGGGCCCCGGGGCGAGCTGGGAGCGAGCGCCTGGACGGCCTTTCCCCCACCGCTCCTGTGCCGGTGGCGGCGGCGGCCGGAGTCGCTTCTTCCGGCTCCGGCCCCGAGGCGTTGCCTGCTTGGCGCCTCCTGCCGGCATTCCGTACCGCCCCGGGGCCGTGATCCCGGGAGGCCCGCAGGGCCTGGCCGCAGCCGCAGGGCGAGCCTCCCTGGAACGGTGGGGTCCGCTTGCATGAGCTGCGTTTGAGGTTGAAGTCTGGAGTCGTAGGGTCTCTCGAGTCCCTTAGGCGGCTGCTTTCTCGGAGACCTGCGCTCTGCCCGCCACGAAGTTCGCCACCGTTTTCTTACTCCTCTGGTTTTACGGGTAGACCATCCAACAGTGCTCCCACCGCGAGGCTTTTCGCCCGTTTAGATCGTGGTTCTTTCCTATCTGTGGGTAGTCTTACCAGTCTCTTCCAATTTTCCTCAATCTTAGGTTTGTCCTATTAAGATTGAGGGTGTCCACTCGAGACGGCAGTGCATTCGTCTGAAAAGTGAAGCTCGCCTTTACCTCTAGCGTGCTCTCGGTTTCTGTTTTGTCTTTTGTTGGTTTTTTTTCCCCTTTGAAAGTGTGGTCTGGATTTCACTTCCCACCGACAGACCAGCTGCATTCTCCATGTGTACACTGGGGCATGCTTCCTACTCGTTTTACCAGGGAGTTCTCAGTTTAAGGAAATTGCCTTTGACCGACCCCGTCAGCCTTCGCTGTTAACCTGAAGTTGTTTTACGTCTCCATTTTGGTTTCTTAGCCAGAAAGAAACCCCACTCAATATTGTACCCCGTCAGTAAACACTCAAGAGTGTCTTTCTCAACAGCCAGAGTCTGGGCTTCTCTCATCCAGGCCTCCTCCTCATTTCCCGGTTCATTCGTCTGTTTTGTGTGCGGTTCTGATCACCTGACCAGGACCTCCCTCCTGGCAACCTCAGGACCCCTTCTCTGTTCTCAAAGGAGCTGAGATTTCTCCCGGCATTGCTTGTGTGTGCCCTGTCCTCTCCAGTCACCCTTTAGGCCCTTTGGGTAGCGTGTCCTGCGGAAGCAGAACTCCTTATTAAGAATCCCTGCCTGGGGGCTGGAGAGATGGCTCAGAGGTTAAGAGCACTACATGTTCTTCCAGAGGTCCTGAGTTCAATTCCCAGCAACCACATGGTGGCTCACAACCATCTGTAATGAGGTCTGATGCCTTCTCCTGGGGTACAAGCATGTACACAGATTAAAAAAAAACTGTATGACTAACAAAAAAGAATCCCTGCCTGAGCCGGGCGTTGGTGGAGCACGCCTTTAATCCCGGCACACGGGAGGCAGAGACAGGTGGATCTCTGTGAGCTCGAGACCAGCCTGGTCTACAAAGCAAGTTCCAGGACAGACTCCAAAGCTACACAGAGAAACCCTGTCTCGAAAAACAACAACAAAGAATTCCTGCCTGGATGGCCCAGCACGCTCAGATGATGGGGTTGTACAATGCCCTAGACCCGGCCCTGTGTTAAACCACAGCAGTTTCCAAGTCAGGAGGTCTGGGACCGGTTGCACCGCCCTCACCTTTCCTCACAACTTTAAATCCACCGTGATCTTAACATTTTCTTCCTCATCCGTCAACTGATGCACACTGCTGTGTCCTAAACAACCAGGGAACCTCTGTCCTACTCTGTCACCTGGACTTGTTAAAGGTCTAAGTCACTCTCCCATGGAGTAGCCTGTAGCCATGTAGTAACTTGAATTTAGAGCACTGTGAAATGCAATTTAAACTTGTTTTCATAGTGGCACTAGCCACATTCTGAGCTCTCGGTAGCCACATAGGGTTAGTGGCTGTCATACGAGGCAGCACAATTGATAGATTATAGAAGTGACTCTCGACGGGGTGGGGGGTGGCGGACGCCTTTAATCCCAGCAGTGGGGAGGCAGAGGCATCGGATCTCTGTGTGTTCGAGGCCAGCGTGGTCTACAAGAGCGAGTTCCAGGACAGCCTCCAAAACAATACAGGGAAACCATGTCTCAACAAACCAAAAAAAAAAAAAAAAAAAAAACTCAGAAGACCTCCCTGTGCCAGGCAAGTGCCCTACCGCTGACTGAGCATCCTCCCCAGTCCTGGGATTGTGCTCCGGGCAGCGCTGCCCCGGGCTCTCCCTCCTGGCCTGTGTTTAGAGCGGCTCCCTTCACTAGAACTCTGCTCCTGTGTTACTAGTTAGTCCTCACTCCTTACACAGTGAAATTGAAAGTGCAGTTTGTCAGAAAGGCGCGCTCCCTGCTGCCAGCCTCCTGCAGCCTCCGGGAGCTGCCTCCCAGACCTGTGCACCGGGTGCTGTTGTGTTTCGCGCCTCACCGTGTTCCTTCTGCGTGGGGTTGACTTTCCCTTCGCCTAACCCAAAAGGTCGAAAACAATCTCTGAATCCTACCTACTCTTGACTCCTAAATTAAGCTGGCTTCTTTAGATTCACTTAATGATTGTACTTTTTTTTTTCAAGACAGGGTTTCTCTGCATTGTTTTGGAGGCTGTCCTGGAACTCCCTCTTGTAGACCAGGCTGGCCTTGAACTCACAGAGATCCTCCTGCCTCTGCCTCCCGAGTGCTGGGATTAAAGGCGTGCGCCACCAACGCCCAGCTGGAATTTTACAATTTAAAAGTTTTAAATAGTATTGATTCATTTTGTGTTATGTGTTTTGCCTGCATGTATGTATATGTACTGCATGCATGCTTGGTGCCCTCAGGTCAGAAGACGGTATCAGATCTGAAATTGGACTTACCGGCGTGGGTGTTAGGAGTCGCATACCTGTCCACTGCAAGAGCATCTGAGTCCTTTTACTATTATTATTTTATTTACTTTAGACCGTGTATCCCAGCTGCCTGCAGTCTTGCCGTGCAGCTGGTTCTGCCTCTGACCCCACACGCTGAAATTACAGGTGTGCACCACCAGCCTGGATGGAATTTTTGTTTCTTTCCCTGTTAAGACATATCATCTTGCCAGGCGGTGGTGGCGCACGCCTTTAATCCCAGCACTCGGGAGGCAGAGGCAGGAGGATCTCTGTGAGTTCGAGGCCATCCTGGTCTACAGAGCAAGTGCCAGGACAGCCTCCAAAACAATACAGAGAACCCTGTCTCAAAAACCAAAAAAAAAAAAAAAAAAAGACGTATCATAATTCTGATAGTGTAGGAGTGTATACACATGAGTGCCTTCTGGGGGGGGCAGAAGAGGATGTCAGTGTCTCTGGCATCACGGGGGGGTGGGGGTGGGGGGGGTTGTGAGCCACTTGACATGGGTGCTCAGTAGAGCGAGACCCTGTCTCAGAAAACCTCCTGCTGTGATGAAATGCAAAATGGAACCCTGCAGATGTGAGGGGATGAAGAGGAGGGGAAGACACTGGACACTGAAGACAACCCCCCCCAAAAAACCTCCAGCATTGGGGTTTAATGAATGGTATTGAAAGACAGTGAAGTGTTAGAGGTCCGTCCAGAGGGCCCTGCAGGCCTGGAGGATGGGTCAACTCGTGCGTTAATGGGTCAGGGTTTACCATGGTGTTGTGACTGACTGTCGTTAAGCCACGCAACTGCCATCTCGAGGAATTCACTTTCACCCCTTCTCAAAAGGATTATTCCGGCTGGGCTTGTAGACACTCTGTGGCCTGTTGGGATAATCCTTTAGTGCCCTATGTGAAGATGTGTCTCTGTCCTTCCTCACATGCCCAAGGCACCTTGTGGTTGGCTAAATAAAGAGCTGAGTAGCCAATAGCTAAGCAGGAGAGGATAGGCAGGACTTCCATGCAGAGATAGGAACTCTGGGAAAGATGGGGGGTCACCAGCCGGACGATGTGGAGCTGGACATACGGTATGGAGAAGTACCGAGCCATGTGACAGAACATAGATTAATCTTAAGTGTTTAAGGGCTAGTTGGGAACAAGGCCAAGCTTTCATAATTAATAAAAGGTCTCTGTGTCATTTTTGGGAGCCAGCAGTCAAAACAAGATGCATAACAGCGACCCATCTCGCAGAGGTGGAGAGGGCCGTGAGAGTTACCTTCCTGCTGCTCCACACCACCTACTGTGCTCCCCACCACCTACTGTGTCCCACGCCACCTACTGTGTGCAACTCGGCCTTAAACAGGTCATGGTCTTGTGAGAGCATTTGGCTACACAGCCAGCCAGGGGAAACAAGAAGGGTTCTGTGCAGCCTCAGGGAAGCCCTCATCTCTGCTGGGTAATGGCTCTCCCGATTCTGCCTGCTGGGGAGGAAGCGCCCACACCCCTAAGTAAACCCACACCTATGCTCTGTAAGAAAGCCCAACATTTGCTTCCCAGGGTGAACTTTGGTGGAGCTGTGCCTGTTGGTTGTCGAGGGCTCAGGAGAAGAGGTGAATGTGCCTCACGCTGCTCCCTGGGAAGGGATTTTAGTGACACACGGGATGATACCGTCACAGAGGTGAGCTCTGTCCGGACTTCAACGTGGTGCCGTCCACCGTGCCACGACGTGTCTAGAACCACCATCCTTTTTAAACCTCTCAGTCGTAGGTGTCTAGCTATATCAACAGAAAAGAACAATTGAGACAGCTGAGAAGCGGGAGCCTTCCTGGTCCTGAGTGCTCCCAGGGTTGGGCTAAGAGTCAGCATGCGGCTGTGGAATCCCAGAGCTGCAATTTGGACACGGAGGAGAAGGCACAGGGAGACACCAGCTGCCTGAGGAGGGAGTGGGAGCTATGTGGATAGATTCACAGGAAAATTCGCTTCTTGGTGACCATGGATCTAGAGACCGGAGGTCAGTGAGAACCCTGGCACAAACGAGACAGAAGAGAAACAGAGTCAAGCTACCTACACGTAGGAAAGAGCCCGCCCTGAGCCCGCCCTTCCCAGTGCTGGCCGGAACCTCAGACTTCTGCTTCAACACAAGTACTGGGAGACAGGCACGCCCCACCACACCTGGCTCCCAGCTCCTCTTTACACCACGTTGCACAATGAAACAAACTTACTTGTTTGTTTTGAGACAGGGATTCTCTGTGTAACAGCCCCAGGCTACCTGTAGACCAGGCTGGCCTGGAACTCACAGAGATCCACCTGCCTCTGCCTCCCGAGTGATGGGGTTAAAGGCGTGTGCGCCACCAACGCCCGGCATCAAATCATAAATCTTTGTTTTTTTGTTTTTGTTTTTGGAGACAGGGTTTCTCTGTATTGTTTTGGAGGCTGTCCTGAAACTCACTCTGTAGACCAGGCTGGCCTCGAACTCACAGAGATCCGCCTGCCTCTGCCTCCCGAGTGCTGGGATTAAAGGCATGCCCCACCACCACCCGGCTCAAATCATAAAACTTAAACAACAAGCCGGGCGTAGGTGGCGCACGCCTTTAATCCCAGCACTCGGGAGGCAGAGGCAGGCGGATCTCTGTGAGTTCGAGACCAGCCTGGACTACCGAGCGAGTTCCAGGACAGCCTCCAAAGCCACAGAGAAACCCTGTCTGGAAAAACCAAAAAAAAAAAAAAAAAAAAAAAAAAAAAAAAAGACAGGGTCTCAGCTAGGACTGTGATACAGAGAAACCCTGTCAGGAAAAAAAACAACAAATTATTGTGAGGTTGGAAATGCGGCTCATTGGTGAAGCGCTTGCTAGCGTTTGCAAGGCCTCAGGTCTGGTAGCAGCACCCTCACTTAGGAGCGTGGGAAGCAAATTCAAGAGCTATTAGCGCCAGTGTCCATCCTGTAGGTACTTCTAATTTTCATTAGCCAGGGGCAGCTCCCTCCCTCTCTTTCTTCTCCTTCTGTCCCTTCTTTCCCATTCCTCTCTAGTCTATTCTATTCCTTTTTTTTTTTTTTGAGACAGCATCTCACTATCAGCCCAGGCTGGCCTTGAACTCATAATCTTCCTGTCTCAGCTTCCCCAGTGCTGGGATTTCTTCTGGCATCTACCACCATACCTGGCCTCCAGAGTTGCTTTATTTGGTTTGTAAATTTGGTTCCAGATTTGCTCCATTCTGGAAATGTCTTTTGCTTTGTGTCTGCCGTAGTCAACAGGTAGCATTTTTTTTAATCCACGGGGAGCATGGTTCCCTCTAGACAAAACAGTCCCGGAACTGGAGCTGCTCAACTTTCAAGTGGCCCCGCCTGCCTGGTGGATTCCAGAGCAGATCCCAGCAGAAGAGGTGAGCTTTGAAGACGCCAGCAAAAGGGAGGCAGCCGGGAGGGAGGCCATAAATTCCGTCCAGGGCGATTGCATCCTGCAGGAAGGGCAAAGGTTGACGAGAAAGCACCAGAGGACTTGAGTTCCTAAAGCCAGGTGTGGTGAGGCTGATGCAGGAGGTCTGACTCGAGTTCAAGAGCCAGTGCTCGCTACGTCGCGAATTTCCTGCCCAGCCTGCAGCGAGACTCCACCTCTGAACAAAACCAAGGAAGCGGCTGGAAGAAGAGCCGTGGACTCCAAGAAGTGGACGGACAAGGGACCGCCAGGGAAGGGGGAGGGGACCTCAGCGTCAGAGCGAGCCGGAGAGAGGGCAGGGCCAACTGGGTCAAACGTTGCTGCCCGCTCACCAGCCACCTGACCCGCAGGACAGAGACAGCGGGAGGGGTTTTAGCAGGTGTGAGAAGGCGGGGGTGGGGGCCCACAGTGGCCCAGCTTCTCAGGCACACACACTGGCTCGCCGGGGGTCGGGAGGTTACAAAGGACGTGGAAGCTGGCCCCGAGGTAGCCTCCAAGGAGACTGTTGGTGACCGCAGCCAGCCGAGGAAGGTTACCCAGCCCTGCCCGCTCCTGGTGGGGCTGGTTGTGGAGAACTCGGGCCCCCTCTGCCCGGTTCCTCCTGCCCACCGAGCCCACTTCCTTCTGCAGTCCAGTCCGGGAGATCTCAGACTTCTCTGCTGTTCCGGGACACACAGTTCCTACGTGCCAGGGGAGAAGGGCTTTGCCGAAAGGGGACTATTTGGGGGGTCTCCACCCTAATTCTGAACACACACAGAACGGCATTCACTAAAGAACGGGCCTGCGAGCAAAAGCCAGCCCACTGCCTGCGTTCATGCGCCCTGGGTGTCAAGAATGGTTTGACGTGTTTTTTAAAAAATGATTTTTTTTAAAGAAGCAAGAATGTTTCATGACACATGGGAATGATGTGAAATTCGCATTTTAGTACCCATAAATAAAAAGCGAGTTGAGGACAGAACTTAGGGAACATCAGCAGAGAGCAGATGAAAGAGAGGGGGGTCCACGAGGGAGAGCAGCGGGCGAGAGAGGCCTGGGAAGCGTGGGGGCGGGGCGGGGGCAGAGCCAGAGCCAGGCCGAGCCGGGGCAGAGCCAAGCCTTGTTCACGCTTTGGTCTCATCGCCTATGCCGCCTTTCCTGGCAGCCAGAGAGGCTTTTAATCTGCTCCTCGCAGAAAGTTTGCAGGCTCCGGTTTAGAATCCCAGGTGGGTGGCTGGGGTTGTGGCTCCCAGATAGAAGGCTTGTCTAGGATGCGTGCGCGAGCGCTGGGTTCCACCTCCAGATCTGCTAAGTAGAAGGAAGTTGTGTAGCGTGCCGGCCGGTGGCTGTGCGCCATGTGTCTCTCCCGTGGAGTGGCAAGCCATCTCCAGAGTGTGTCCGAGCCCTGGACCGTGTTCTCCTCACCCAGACATCTATAAACAGGCGCATCGCCGTCGCACTTGTCAGGAGCTCTTAGCGTTTTGTTTTTTGCGTTCGGCTGCAGTGGCTGCGTTAAAAGGGGGCGCAGGTTCGGCCCCATGTGAACACGGATGAATTCATTGCTGGGGTTACTTAATCGCCGCGTTAGATCTTCCTCACTGCCTCCCCCTCCCTCCGTCTCTT